TGTTTCAGGAAATTCAGTAGTTTAGGTTTTCAAACACTACATAAATATTAATATTTACATACTAGTATTTATCTGGGCATAATTAAGAAAAAATAAAAAAATAAAAAAAATAAAAATATATTAGCGCAGAAATTGAAATCCCGACGAATTGACACAATTTTCCCAGATCCCAGACAATTTTAGAGGGTCTTTCCCACGTCCCGATGGACTTCTGTTCCCGAATCAAGAAAAATTTATCTGACATTTCCCAGTTCCCAGCTAATTGAAATTGCCAATCCCGCGTCCCGAAAATACCCGTTCCCCCCCCCTCATATATGCAGTAGCGGTTTCGTTTCATAGTGAGGCGTACCACTGCAAGCCCCTGTGCCACCGTGACGTGAACAGCGCCGATGTATTAAGCCGCCAACGAACGCGTAGCAATTTCAAGATGGATGCAGACACGAGCAAAGTGGACGCGTTCCAAACTACGCACTCGAATTACTTTCGACCAGAGGTTACCAATCTATATAATTATAATCAGGAGTGAATAAAAAAACCCAACTTTTTAATCACGCCAGATATAATATATATTATGCGTGATACCTATCATTATTAGGAATTAGTAGGGGGTAGGGTAAGGGTTGATGTTAGGGTAAAGGTTAATGTTGGGGTTATGGGTAAGGATAAGGTTAAAGGGGGGTTAAGATTAGGGTTACGGTTAGGGTTGCGGTAAGGGTCAACGTTAGATCCAGGTTATGGTTTAGGCTAAGTTTTGAGTAGGGTTAGGTTTAAGTTCAGGTGTATAGTTAGAATACTGTTAGTTTTTAACTATGTCTGTTACGGCGCTTTAACCGTGAAACATAACGCGTGTTCGGTTTCGAACTTTCTCCCGCAGATATGTCGGCGACAGACGCTCCCTGATGATCCAATGAGAAGCCACATACCGCACGGCGACCGCGAGAAAGAACGCCTGCCTCTGTCCCAGTACAAACACTCCTTCATGACGTCACGCGCACAGCGTCAGATCAGGGCTCCGTGCGCGCACGCTGGTGAGCGGTTATAGTTTAAAATTGTTGTTGTTACTGGTGATGGAGTTGGCAGAGGGCGTGGCGGCGGTGGTGATGGAGGCGGCGGCGGCGGTGGTGGTGGTGGTAGGGGTGGTGGTGGTCGTAGTGGTGGTGGGGTTTTGTTCATTTGATGAAAGATGTTGCTTAAACTATGTAAAACGTCTAAACGTGCTATCTAACGTTAATGCATCTTCCAAATGCAATTTCAAAATTATGTTTAAAAAATCGAAATGTAATCTTTTCTATAGAATTATCGTTACCGTCTTTGATAGCTATGCCTACTACTATTATCATGAACATAAGTATATCCTATATTATTATAACGGATGTACATGTGTTCATGCTAATCTCGCTATAAATGCGCGAACGCGGCGAGTGATGTAAGTGATGTGTGTGTGTGTGTGTGTGTGTGTGTGTGTGTGTGTGTGTGTGTGTGTGTGTGTGTGTGTGTGTGTGTGTGTGTGTGTGTGTGTGTGTGTGTGTGTGTGTGTGTGTGTGTGTGTGTCGTCGTCGTCGTGGTCGTGGTCGTCGGTCGGTACGGTCGGTCGTCG